CCCCCGGGGGGGGGGGAAGCTGAGGGGGAAGGGGGAGCCACCCTTTGGGGGAGTGAAGAGGGGGAAACCTTTGGATTGCGTTGGAAGAGACCACACGCCGGGGGGAGGAAGGCGGTGGAGATTGGAAGAGACCACTTAAGGCAAGATCTGGGGGTAGCCAAAGGGGGTGGCTGGGGAGTGACCATGAGGAAATCCGGAAGAGACCTCTTAGACAGAGAGGGACATGGGCGTTGCAGGGTGGTGTGGGGGCCGCATCCCACGGTTTGTTGAAAGTGGCTCCCAAGCCTGTGAAGGCTGGAAGAGAGCATCTCTCAGAGGCATAGGGTAGCCATAGGGGACCTGGGACAGGTCTATCCACAGGACCTTTAAGGGGTGGCCATGGCATGGGGGTGGGGTGGAAGGGACCACATTAGACAGACCTGGGCTTGGCAATGGGAACAGCAAGTGACCACCAAAGGCTGGCTAGGGCCTATGGCAATGAGGTGGGGGGTGGAGATAGCTACTAATAAACCATTCCAGACTGTACCCCAGGCAGATAAGGGGGTACAGCTTTAGGGGGCTGGAAGAGACCATCCTAGACAGTCATGGGGTGGGGAACTATGGGGTGGGGAGAGACCCCAGGCAGGAGTCAACACTGCCCAAGCCCTCCCCTCCGGTCCCCATCCTGCAGAGGGCCGCCACTCAGTGAACACCTACAAGGCCTGCATGAAGTTCAGCGACTGCTACTCGGGTTTCGTATCCACCACCATGGGTCCCAAGGACTACATGGTGACCAACACATACTGCTGCCAGAGTGATGGCTGCAACAACGGCTCAGTGACCCGTAAGTGCCAGCTCAGCCCCGCATTAGGAGTCCCTTCCAGCCTGCCCCAAGAGCCCAGTGTGTGTGCCCTCGGCCACCACTGATCTGTGCACTGTAACATCAGGCACTGACCTTGCTCACTGAGCCTCACTTTCTGCTCCGGTAAATGCAGGGTCCATTAGTGCTGTTCCCTAGGGTTATTGTGAGGTTGAGGGAGGGTCTTAATTTCTCTTTGTACCTTGTACTCCACCCTCCTCCCCAGCTCCCCAGAACAATCGGACTGAGAATGGCCTCCAGTGTCCTGCGTGCATCGTACCCTTCCAGGAGACGTGCCCAGGGACCCAGGCAGCCCGCTGTGTTGGCGAGGAAACCCACTGCATCTACTTCGCTGGCAATGTGCAGGCTGGTGAGGGGCATCTGGATCTCTGGAGGAGGGCACAGGGGCCCCAGAACTGGAAGCCAGTGCTTCCAGGTCCTAGGGGAGATGGTGGCCCCAGAGAACTGGGTGAGGAGGGTGCAGGACCAAGATTTTTAGGTCATGAGTGGTTGGGGGCCCTGACTCCATTCTAACATCCCCGTCCCAGGTATCATCAACACCAGGTTTGCCACCCGAGGCTGTGCTACAGAGAGTGCCTGCAACACCAAGCCTGGGGCCGAGGTGCCCTCAGCCTCCTATCTCTACTTCCTCCGCCGAGCAGACTGCCTTCCAGCCCCCCAGCCCCCTGGCAGGGCCGAGTGAAGAACTGAGGAGTGTGTGGCTTGAGGTCCCCATTTGTCCTCAGCCTGTGTGCCTATAAATTAAACAGATTAACTGAGCAAGCCTGAGTCTTTGTGACATGTTGCATCTCAGGAAGGTTTGTTGCAGAAAGCTGGGGGCTCAACCCTTGAGAACCCTGTCTTTGCAAGGAAGAGGGAAAAAACCCTACCTTTTATTAAAACCTGCTGGGCTCCTGTGCTATGATCATTTCATAATCACAGCACTCTAAAGTTGATATTATCCCCACTTTATTTTATTTTTAAATATATCTTTTATTGATTTCAGAGAGAGGAAGGGAGAGGGAGAGACAGAAACATCAATGATAAGAGAGTCATTGATTGACTGCCTCCTGCATGCCCCCCCACTGAGGATTGAGCCCGCAACCCAGGCATGTGCCCTGACCGGGAATCAAACCGAGATTGCTTGGATCCTAGGTTGATGCTCAACTGCTGAGCCACGCCTAGCCAGGCTCCATTTTACAGATGAACAAACTGAGGCACAGATTGTGGTGTCATTTGCCTTGGGTCAAACTGCTAGGGAGGGTCAGACTCCAGAGTCCATGATCGCCTCTGTTGAGTAACCTTCCCCTGTTTTTGCCTTAGTTTTCATGTGGGCAAAATGTGGATATTAATAGTTATAATCTCATAGAATTGTTATAAGAGCAAAATGAAAGAAAACTAAGATAGCACTTAGTGCAGTGCCCAGCACCTTTAAGTGTTGCTTCTAGAGATAATATGAGTAAATAGTAATCATCGTTAATAGCTGCTACTTACTGAACGGTCATTAGTTAACAGGTGCTAAATATTGTCCTGGATCAGGACAGACTAGACTATGCTACAGTAACAAAGAAGTCCCTAATCTCAGTGGTTTAAAACAACAAAGCTGTATTAGTCAACTCACGTGCAGTAATGCTGCGCAGCAAAGCATCTCAAAACAGACTTATAACAACAGGCATTCTTCTTTTTAATGGTTTGTGGGTGGCTGGGTGGCTCTGCTTCTGGTTGTGCATTGGCTGACGTGGCTCTAGTCTGGAGAGGATTCAAGTTCTCCTCCTTGGGGTTCCACAATCTTCTGGGATCGATGGCTCCCTGGCCAATCACAGAAGCACAAAAGCCACCTGCATTGAAGGCTCCTGCTGAGGTCAGGTCTGCTACCATTCTGGTGAGTAAAGTAAATCATGCAGTCAAAGCCAACATTTGGGGAGCAGGGAAGCATCCTCCCCCTCCAGTGGGAGAGAGAGGAATGGTGTTTGTTGAACAAGTACCCGCTCACAAAACGTTGGTTCTTCCCTCACCTACATGTTTGGCATCGTCCACAGGTGCTCCGCTCACCATCATAGAGCAGCCACCAACTCCAACACTGCCCACTTCTGTGCGCAGGAAAAAGCCCAGGAGAGTCTCACGTGGGTGATTAAATGCTGCGACTCAGAAGTGACTTGACACAATTCACTGGAAGGAGCTGGTCACATGGCCCCACCAAACCTGGTCATGGGGGCCAGGAAGTGTGACCCTATCCTGTGACATGTTTCACAACAGCGTGAATGTCCACTATGGCCTCTTATGGGCACTTTCTCACTTTGTCTTCACAACCCCATGTGATGGACACTATTATTCCTATTTCAGGAAAAGACTCTGATGCTCAGAGAAGGGATGTCCCATTGGAGGCTGCACAGCTAAAAAGTGGCAGAGCTTAAGATTTTATTTATTGGGTTATGTTAAGGGGGAAAAGAAACCATATCTCAGAGAGCGGGAACCAGCCTGTATTAGTTATCTTTTGCTATGTAACAAACCACTCTAAAATTTAGAGGCTTAGAACAATCACCTTTTATTTTGCTCATGATTCTATGGGTCGGCAATTTGGCCTGGGATCAGGTGGGTGGTTCTCCCGCTGGTCCCTGCTGGGTTCAGTTGCCTGTTGGCAAGGCAGCTCTGTTTCAGAGGGTTGGAGGGGCTGTGGGTTGGGGTGTTAAGGCTGACTGGGCCACATCTCTTATGACCCAGCAGATTAGCCGGGGCTTCTTGATGCACTTCCCAAGCCTCTGCTCACGTCATGTTTCCTACTGTCACAGTGGCCAAGCAAATCACATGGCCAGGTCTAGAGTCAGAATGAGAAGGGACTATCCGAGGGCATGGCTACAGACAGGCTGAGGTATTAACGGGCCAAGCAGGTTCCAGATCTAAGGTGCTTTACATCACAAGCCCCTGAGGTCAAAATAGTCACTGGTCCACCCCAACCCCCAGGGAGGCAAAACTCAGATACAGATAAAGTCTCTTGATTCCAGCCAAAGGGAGTCTTTCCTGTACAGAACCCCCACTGTTCTTCCCCTCCCAGGAGTCCCTAGCCTTGGCCCCCTCCTCCCTCAGACCCAGGAGTCCAGGCTTCTAGCTCCAGTTAAAATCCCAAGTATCTCCACCCCTTTCAAATCCCAAAAGAACAGACACAGAATGGCATTTCTACTCATCTTTATTCACTCCTCCAAAAAGCACCACAGGCCAGCCACACCCGTGATTCCTTTCACAGTTCTCCACCCCAGTGTACATAGGTCCCTCCATCATTATGAAGAAGTGTGGGAAACTCAGCTAAGCTGATGAGATCATCTCATTGCTCAAGTTCTTTGTGTCTGTTCAGTTTCTGGCAGATGGTAACATCAAGATTCATCATACATTTCCTTGAATTCTTGCCTTTCAGGGTCTTCCAGCCTGGAGGTGCCACATAGACGTGCCCCAATGGCAACCAGTGGTCTGTCCACAAGGGAGGCTCAGTTTTTCTGCTTGGATGCTCCCAGAGACAGATACCTCACTAGCAACCTTATACCTCCACAAAGTCTAAAAGTCAATGCCATCAAAAGTCATGATTTAAAAGACAACCACTCCAAAGAATATCAATATACAATTATATACAGTAACACAACCAGCACTCCCCAGTGGCAGACACACGCAGATATAACTGGCTTTTGCTTTCTCAGATGTGATCTCTGGCATGATCCCTGTTGTCCTAAGGGCAGAGGGAATTTGGAGCAGAGGAACAGAGATGTCAGGACCAAATCAGAGATGGTATCAAAGTGACAGAAAAGGGGGCACTGTGTGAGCAAAGGTGCCCAGACTAGTCTTGGTGTTGCCCAGGGCTGAGGCCGTCTGGGCAAGGGCAACCAGACTCTTTTGAGCTCCCAGTGTGCCAGGCTTCTCGGCAGGGACTGTAGTATGTTGACTTGTGAGAGAGAATGTGTGTACCTATATATACACTGAATTCTCACAATAACCCTGTGAGGTGGATACCACTTGCTGAGTGACTTGCCTGAGGTCACCCCCAAAGTCAGCAGGACTGTCTGACCCTAGGACTCTGCTAACAGAATTGCATTCCCCTAAGGCTGAGAGCTTTGACAATGCCTGGAGCCATTCTATACAGAGCCAAATGCTTTTTCCCATCTTCGCTCTCTCAGCTTGGATGGGAAAACTTGTGCCAGTGGTGGGAGTTCAAGCTTGAGATGGGGCAGCCAGCCCTCAAGTATCTGCCGCTCAGATCCGTTAGCCTTCTCTTCAGCTGTCAAAGGAAATGGCATCTTGGAACTAGTTACGGTTGTCATCCAGCACTTTCATTTAACAGATGAGAAAATAAGGCACTGGTCCAAGTCACCCAGGGTGACAGTGGCAAAACTGTGCTTGCTTTCCAGGTCCCCTGACCTCTCAGACAGGCACTTTCTCTCCCATTAGATGGTTGTTTCTCCCCTCATCTCAGTCCTTTTCCCTGTCTTGTGGTAAGAGACCGACAATCTACATCCCAGCCCTAATTCTGCCACTGACTAGTAAATTAAAGTAATAAATATTTGCTAAGCACCTACTGCGTGTCAAGCACTATTCTGGGTGCTGGGGGTACAGCAGAGAACAAGACAGACAAGGGGATAATAGCTGATAAATAGGTAAATAAATAAATAATTTTCTACAGTAATAATTGCTACAAAGAAAAGTAACCAGCTAAGATGAATATTTTGGGGTATGAGCTACTTCAGTTAGAGCAGTCAGGGAAGACCTCTGTGAAGGGTTACTTGAATTGAGGCCTGACTGACAGAAGAAGCCACTCATGGAAATCTGGGGAGCACAGCATTCTAGGCAGAATGAACAGCAAGTGCCAAGGTCCTGAGGCAGGACCCCAGGTGGCCCACTCCAGCATCAGAAGAAAGATCTAGCAAGCTGGTTGGGGGATGGGGTGGGGCAGAGAATGAGACTAGGCAAAGGCCAGACCACAGAGGGCCTCTGTGTTCTGCTGGGCCTAGAGTCTGCCCTCTCTGAGCTTTGCTATCCCCAACCACCATAAAAGATTCTACTGGATGGCCTCTCAGGTCCCCTTTGCTGTTTTTGACACTGAAGAATTCTGTGTCCTGTGGCTCCTCTCTACATGTAGGCGGCAGCCTAAGACATTCCAGGCATTACAGTTTCTGCCTCTGCCTCACTTGTGGCACATCCCCACAGGCTGGAACACCTGCCCAGCTATCCTTCAGATCCCTTGCTCACTGCGGCACTGTGTACACCAAGGGAGCCAACTCAGAAACATGTGGGTTAGTGCAGCAGTACAGCTGCTTCTCCAAAAAGGAAGGTGTATGAAAATACCAAGGCCAGAAAGGGTTCAGGCTTAATGGCAGCAGAAACCAAATCCAAAAGTAGAAACCACTAACGAAGAGCGGGGCAGAGGAACAGACTCCTCAGAGAGCTTCCAAATCACTCGGCACCTATGAAATGGGGCCAGTCTTATCCCTTCCCTGTCAAAGTCACAGAGAGGGGCAGTTTCCAGGACCCAAATCCATTAGGGATTTGCAGGAGATACCTCTGAGGTATGGGTTCCTGCCCTTCCATACCCAGGAGGCCTCATTCCTGGTGTCTGGCTACCCCCCGAGCCTGCCATGGCCCTCTTGCCTCCTCCTCTCATTTTTGTGTGGCCATCCTCCCCACAAAGTTGGGGTCCCCCTCCCCCAGGAGCAAATACTGAACATTTCTCTACTCCCCAATAGAAGGGTTTCTAGCTCTGCCACACAGCCCCATTCTCTCCTCTAGCTGCAGACCTCCCATCATCCAGGAATTAGAAACCAAGGTCCACAGCCCTCCTGGGAGCCAGGAGTCTAAGACCCTGGAGACTGCCCTTCCCCCCATGAAGGTTCAAAGTCCACTGCATCTTGAGGATCTGAGAGGCTGTGCGCAGACCTAATCCCCTTAGAAAAGCTAGACCCTATATTCCTTTGTGGCTCAGAAGTCCAAGAGTTCCAGCTCCCTGGAGTACCCAGACCCCTTCCTCTATCCTGCAATCCCCAGTATGATGGAGAAGTCCCTCATCAGGAAGGAATCAGGGCTCCTGTCCACCTACCCCTAGAGGACTAGATATCCAATACATACAGTAACTACTCCCTTGGAGACTAAGATAATGCCCCCTTCCAGAAGTCCAACCCCTCAATTCCCTTCAGGACACAAGTCTGGGAGTCCTGCCCCATGATCCCCAGAGAAATCAGGAGTCCTAACCCCCAGATTCTATTCCCCTTTAAGACCCAGAAATCCAGGTGACAAGAAGTCACATATTCTAACCAGCAGTTAGCTCATCCCCCTCAAGCACCCAGGATTCAGAGTGGCAGCATGCCTGCTCTGTTATCTCAGGGGCCCAGACATCCCATGCCAGAGTCTGGACCCCCAAACCCCTCTTCTAAACCAGACTTGGCGTCCTCAGCCCCTGGCAGAGCCAAGTAGCCAGGACGCTGGGCCCCCGGGTAGCCCTGGCCTTCATCCCACCTCTCACTGAGCAGGCGCCTGGGGTGCCAGCACTGCCTCCGCATCCGCCAGCATCTCGTCCAGCGCCTGCAGCAGGACCCCGTGGGCCGCGCGGTAGCCCAGGCCACCCGTGGCCGCTGCACCGCCTGCGGGCCACAGGAAGGAGAGTGCACCCAGCGCTGCGCCCCCGGCAGTGCCCTCACCGGCCCATGCCCCCAGCCTCGCCTCCACTTCCGCGCGTGTCACCGGGCCAGGGAAGCGCGTCCGCTCAGCCAGCTCCCCGGGAGCCAAGCCCAGCGTGCGCTCGCGCCGGGCCAGAGCTGCGGGTTCGAG